GGTCTTATGAAATCACTTTTTGTTTTACCATAAATTTTAAATTATTAATGGAGTTTAAATATCGGTAATAGAGACATCTTCTTGAAATCCGTTTTTTATCAAAATTCATTTAGTAAATCCTTATTTTTGAGTTCACTTACTCGAACTATACATTTCAAGCTACCAGAAGAAATAACTAGTAATTATTTTCTTCAATTATGAAATGTGTTATTAGGAAAGAAAGATGAAAAAATTCTTAAAAAAATTGGGAAAAGAGCCTAAACCACGCCTCCCATCTGTCCTCCCTTCATTTACCAATACGAGTAAAAGTTCTAGTGGGGAGATCTTTTGGGGGGTTAGGAGAAAAGCCTCTTTACTTTCTTTGAATAGTTGAGGGGTTAAATAGCCTTGGGGTCTTCTGTTGTGGTTGAAAACAGTTTTTATTTCATTCTCTTTCTTTAAAATGAGTTAGGATGGAAGACTTTCTTTCGAATTTTCTTATGTTATTTATTATTATTTTTTCTTCTTAATTTTGGCAATAACAACTTATCAAAACATTGTAGGATAAATATATTTAATTAGTTAATTATATATATCAATTAAGCTAACAATAATTATGCAATCTTCTGAAAAAAACTCTATGCTGACCTTTTAAATACAGAGTTAAATAGTGAAAATTTTAAACTTAGTAATTTAAAACATAATATTGTCATTGAAAGAATTTTAGCTTTAAATAAGAGCTTAAAAATTTAAATTAGCAATATACAATTTCCTCACTTAATTTTCAACCCTAAATTTCATTAAATTCATATAAAATTTAGAGCAATCACTTGTGGGTTAAACACTTACCTAACAAACTCTGGCACTATTTTCTCTAACAACTTAAATGAACTTATTAACAATATTATTAAAGAAACTTTTTCTTAGCTTATCACTAATAATCAACCCATTTTAGAATTTATTAAACGTAATAAAATTAATTGTATTGCGACTTTTGATTTCCAGGATCTTTTCAACAGTATTCCTCTTTCTAAGCAAAACGGTGCTCTTTTGAGTTATTACTATGATTTTAAAAATATCCTTAATTTCGATTTTTATTATGTGGAAATTCTAATTAATTTTTGTCTTTTTAATAATTATCTGTTCAATGTTAAAGACATTTTTCTTCATATTGATGGAATACCACATGAATCTAAATTTTCATCTCTCTTAGCTAACTTATTTTTGCACTAATATGAAGAAATTACACTTTTAGTATTAAATTTGTTTTGAAATTTATTGATGATTTAATTATCTTTAATTTTCAGGATTATACAATTCTATTAAATAATATCTACCCCGAGGAATTAATCTTGCTTCGGAATCATGATGGCAATATTAGTTTAAATTTTTTGGATTTGGGTATTATAAAAGAAGAAAATATCTGCTCTGTTGATTTATGCGATTAAAAAAATGATTCTAATTTTAATATAAATAAACTAATTACTCGGAATTCTGATATAGCTAAAAACATCCATTTAATTACCATTTTTAAACAAATGAATCGAATTAAAAGAATGTGTAGTAATGTTTATTTATCCAAAAAACAAGTAGACAAACTCTTTCAAAATTGATTAAAAAAAATGGATACCCAAATAAAATAATTAAAATCTATACAAAAATATTGAGTTTACTGTATATTATTGTAAATAAATTTACTAAAAAACTTCTTTGCTAATTTATAGTATAATTTTTACCATGTGCAAATCCATTCAGGTCAAATCCATGGCTAAAAGTATGTGCAAAACAGGCAATTCATGTCTCTTTTCCCCTGTCTCTCTCTCATTTTTTTTTCTTAAATAAAAATTAATTTTCTAAAATTATTAATTGTAAACTTCTTTAAAATATCCAGTATAATATTACCTTGCACACATCCATTTTCGGCCCCATCCTTGGTAACTAACGAAACAAAGGCGCTTCAGTACTGCAGTAAGAACGGCACTTTAAAGCAAAACTCCTCAAGTTACGCTCAATTTGCGCTTTTGTTTTCATATTTTGCAATCTGGCAATCTTGTTACGAAAATATTTTAAATCATTCTTGAAAAAATTCATGTTCATGTAAGTTCATTTGAATTTGCTGCTCGCTTTTTAGATTTTGTTTCATGCTTCGTTCTGTTTTTTCCTTACATTTTATTTTGTGCTTTTACGTGATATTTTCGCTTAATGTGTTCTATTCTATTTCATTTCAAAATTGTTTTTATTAAATGTTTGTGCAGTGCTTATAAATGTCTTAATAAGCATTACACAAAAACTTTTTTAACTTTGTAAATAATTGGAGTACCAGCAAAATGGATTCTAAATTAATAGTGAACTCAATTTTTCGAAACTTTTGCCCAAAATCATGTTTTTGTACTAGATTTTGAACAAGGCACCTTAACAAGTAAGTAAGGATATTTTGATATTCTACCCCTANAAAAAAAATTCAAAATGCTAACAGATTTAGTAAAACAAATTGGTTACCAAAACTATACAAAATGAAATACTTTTATTATTAAAAACACAGAAAAACGTTATGGTCGAGTTAAATATACACCGCGTATGGATTTATTTTCTCAGGTACTATTCATTAGCTTGCATTCGCAGAAATTTGTTGTCCAATACTGGTATTAAGGAATTTTG